CCCTCACAGGGACCCTTTGCTGAGGGGACCCAGGCAGCCCTGGGGGTCTGAGCCCCTCCCCGGGGCCTGGAGGTCTGAGCCCCTCACAGGAACCCTTGGCTGAGGGGTCCAGGCAGCCCTGGGGGTCTGAGCCCCTCACAGAGACCCTTTGCTGAGGGGGCCCAGGCAGGCCTGGAGGTCTGAGCCCCTCCCCAGGACCCGAGGGTCTGAGCCCCTCACAGGGAGAGTCAGCTGAGGGGGCCCAGGCGGCCCTGAGGGTCTGAGCCCCTCATGGGGACCTGGGGGTCTGAGTCCCTCACAGGGACCCTTTGCTGAGGGGACCCAGGCAGCCCTGGGGGTCTGAGCCCCTCCCCGGGGCCTGGAGGTCTGAGCCCCTCCCCAGGACCCGAGGGTCTGAGCCCCTCACAGAGACCCTTTGCTGAGGGGGCCCAGGCGGCCCTGAGGGTCTGAGCCCCTCATGGGGACCTGGGGGTCTGAGCCCCTCCCCAGGACCCGAGGGTCTGAGCCCCTCACAGAGACCCTTTGCTGAGGGGGCCCAGGCGGCCCTGAGGGTCTGAGCCCCTCATGGGGACCTGGGGGTCTGAGCCCCTCCCCAGGACCCGAGGGTCTGAGCCCCTCACAGAGACCCTTTGCTGAGGGGGCCCAGGCGGCCCTGAGGGTCTGAGCCCCTCATGGGGACCTGGGGGTCTGAGCCCCTCCCCAGGACCCGAGGGTCTGAGCCCCTCACAGAGACCCTTTGCTGAGGGGGCCCAGGCGGCCCTGAGGGTCTGAGCCCCTCATGGGGACCTGGGGGTCTGAGCCCCTCCCCAGGACCCGAGGGTCTGAGCCCCTCACAGAGACCCTTTGCTGAGGGGGCCCAGGCGGCCCTGAGGGTCTGAGCCCCTCATGGGGACCTGGGGGTCTGAGCCCCTCCCCAGGACCCGAGGGTCTGAGCCCCTCACAGAGACCCTTTGCTGAGGGGGCCCAGGCGGCCCTGAGGGTCTGAGCCCCTCATGGGGACCTGGGGGTCTGAGCCCCTCCCCAGGACCCGAGGGTCTGAGCCCCTCACAGAGACCCTTTGCTGAGGGGGCCCAGGCGGCCCTGAGGGTCTGAGCCCCTCATGGGGACCTGGGGGTCTGAGCCCCTCCCCAGGACCCGAGGGTCTGAGCCCCTCACAGAGACCCTTTGCTGAGGGGGCCCAGGCGGCCCTGAGGGTCTGAGCCCCTCATGGGGACCTGGGGGTCTGAGCCCCTCCCCAGGACCCGAGGGTCTGAGCCCCTCACAGAGACCCTTTGCTGAGGGGGCCCAGGCGGCCCTGAGGGTCTGAGCCCCTCATGGGGACCTGGGGGTCTGAGCCCCTCCCCAGGACCCGAGGGTCTGAGCCCCTCACAGAGACCCTTTGCTGAGGGGGCCCAGGCGGCCCTGAGGGTCTGAGCCCCTCATGGGGACCTGGGGGTCTGAGCCCCTCCCCAGGACCCGAGGGTCTGAGCCCCTCACAGAGACCCTTTGCTGAGGGGGCCCAGGCGGCCCTGAGGGTCTGAGCCCCTCATGGGGACCTGGGGGTCTGAGCCCCTCCCCAGGACCCGAGGGTCTGAGCCCCTCACAGAGACCCTTTGCTGAGGGGGCCCAGGCGGCCCTGAGGGTCTGAGCCCCTCATGGGGACCTGGGGGTCTGAGCCCCTCCCCAGGACCCGAGGGTCTGAGCCCCTCACAGAGACCCTTTGCTGAGGGGGCCCAGGCGGCCCTGAGGGTCTGAGCCCCTCATGGGGACCTGGGGGTCTGAGCCCCTCCCCAGGACCCGAGGGTCTGAGCCCCTCACAGAGACCCTTTGCTGAGGGGGCCCAGGCGGCCCTGAGGGTCTGAGCCCCTCATGGGGACCTGGGGGTCTGAGCCCCTCCCCAGGACCCGAGGGTCTGAGCCCCTCACAGAGACCCTTTGCTGAGGGGGCCCAGGCGGCCCTGAGGGTCTGAGCCCCTCATGGGGACCTGGGGGTCTGAGCCCCTCCCCAGGACCCGAGGGTCTGAGCCCCTCACAGAGACCCTTTGCTGAGGGGGCCCAGGCGGCCCTGAGGGTCTGAGCCCCTCATGGGGACCTGGGGGTCTGAGCCCCTCCCCAGGACCCGAGGGTCTGAGCCCCTCACAGAGACCCTTTGCTGAGGGGGCCCAGGCGGCCCTGAGGGTCTGAGCCCCTCATGGGGACCTGGGGGTCTGAGCCCCTCCCCAGGACCCGAGGGTCTGAGCCCCTCACAGAGACCCTTTGCTGAGGGGGCCCAGGCGGCCCTGAGGGTCTGAGCCCCTCATGGGGACCTGGGGGTCTGAGCCCCTCCCCAGGACCCGAGGGTCTGAGCCCCTCACAGAGACCCTTTGCTGAGGGGGCCCAGGCGGCCCTGAGGGTCTGAGCCCCTCATGGGGACCTGGGGGTCTGAGCCCCTCCCCAGGACCCGAGGGTCTGAGCCCCTCACAGAGACCCTTTGCTGAGGGGGCCCAGGCGGCCCTGAGGGTCTGAGCCCCTCATGGGGACCTGGGGGTCTGAGCCCCTCCCCAGGACCCGAGGGTCTGAGCCCCTCACAGAGACCCTTTGCTGAGGGGGCCCAGGCGGCCCTGAGGGTCTGAGCCCCTCATGGGGACCTGGGGGTCTGAGCCCCTCCCCAGGACCCGAGGGTCTGAGCCCCTCACAGAGACCCTTTGCTGAGGGGGCCCAGGCGGCCCTGAGGGTCTGAGCCCCTCATGGGGACCTGGGGGTCTGAGCCCCTCCCCAGGACCCGAGGGTCTGAGCCCCTCACAGAGACCCTTTGCTGAGGGGGCCCAGGCGGCCCTGAGGGTCTGAGCCCCTCATGGGGACCTGGGGGTCTGAGCCCCTCCCCAGGACCCGAGGGTCTGAGCCCCTCACAGAGACCCTTTGCTGAGGGGGCCCAGGCGGCCCTGAGGGTCTGAGCCCCTCATGGGGACCTGGGGGTCTGAGCCCCTCCCCAGGACCCGAGGGTCTGAGCCCCTCACAGAGACCCTTTGCTGAGGGGGCCCAGGCGGCCCTGAGGGTCTGAGCCCCTCATGGGGACCTGGGGGTCTGAGCCCCTCCCCAGGACCCGAGGGTCTGAGCCCCTCACAGAGACCCTTTGCTGAGGGGGCCCAGGCGGCCCTGAGGGTCTGAGCCCCTCATGGGGACCTGGGGGTCTGAGCCCCTCCCCAGGACCCGAGGGTCTGAGCCCCTCACAGAGACCCTTTGCTGAGGGGGCCCAGGCGGCCCTGAGGGTCTGAGCCCCTCATGGGGACCTGGGGGTCTGAGCCCCTCCCCAGGACCCGAGGGTCTGAGCCCCTCACAGAGACCCTTTGCTGAGGGGGCCCAGGCGGCCCTGAGGGTCTGAGCCCCTCATGGGGACCTGGGGGTCTGAGCCCCTCCCCAGGACCCGAGGGTCTGAGCCCCTCACAGAGACCCTTTGCTGAGGGGGCCCAGGCGGCCCTGAGGGTCTGAGCCCCTCATGGGGACCTGGGGGTCTGAGCCCCTCCCCAGGACCCGAGGGTCTGAGCCCCTCACAGAGACCCTTTGCTGAGGGGGCCCAGGCGGCCCTGAGGGTCTGAGCCCCTCATGGGGACCTGGGGGTCTGAGCCCCTCCCCAGGACCCGAGGGTCTGAGCCCCTCACAGAGACCCTTTGCTGAGGGGGCCCAGGCGGCCCTGAGGGTCTGAGCCCCTCATGGGGACCTGGGGGTCTGAGCCCCTCCCCAGGACCCGAGGGTCTGAGCCCCTCACAGAGACCCTTTGCTGAGGGGGCCCAGGCGGCCCTGAGGGTCTGAGCCCCTCATGGGGACCTGGGGGTCTGAGCCCCTCCCCAGGACCCGAGGGTCTGAGCCCCTCACAGAGACCCTTTGCTGAGGGGGCCCAGGCGGCCCTGAGGGTCTGAGCCCCTCATGGGGACCTGGGGGTCTGAGCCCCTCCCCAGGACCCGAGGGTCTGAGCCCCTCACAGAGACCCTTTGCTGAGGGGGCCCAGGCGGCCCTGAGGGTCTGAGCCCCTCATGGGGACCTGGGGGTCTGAGCCCCTCCCCAGGACCCGAGGGTCTGAGCCCCTCACAGAGACCCTTTGCTGAGGGGGCCCAGGCGGCCCTGAGGGTCTGAGCCCCTCATGGGGACCTGGGGGTCTGAGCCCCTCCCCAGGACCCGAGGGTCTGAGCCCCTCACAGAGACCCTTTGCTGAGGGGGCCCAGGCGGCCCTGAGGGTCTGAGCCCCTCATGGGGACCTGGGGGTCTGAGCCCCTCCCCAGGACCCGAGGGTCTGAGCCCCTCACAGAGACCCTTTGCTGAGGGGGCCCAGGCGGCCCTGAGGGTCTGAGCCCCTCATGGGGACCTGGGGGTCTGAGCCCCTCCCCAGGACCCGAGGGTCTGAGCCCCTCACAGAGACCCTTTGCTGAGGGGGCCCAGGCGGCCCTGAGGGTCT